CTCAGCGGTAGATGAATCAGGGCACCACCCAAGACACCAGCCATCGATACAGGTATAGGTTGATATAGGTTTCCATGCAGGTCTCTAAACAAAACACAGCAGACTGGGACCTATGCACTGCAGACCAGGACTCAGGTGAGGATGACCACAGGTTGGGCACAGGCTGACTCAGGATAGAGGATGTCTTTATCCTTCTTAGGAATGACCACTATAGCTGCCTCATACATGGACTCTGGGAGCTTACCCACTTTAAATGCCTTATTCAGGGTAAACAATAAGTTAGCTAGTAATGCCACCCTATATTTCTTATAGATTTCTATAGGGAGTCCATCCAACCCTGGAGCTTTACCGGAAAGCTCAGCACTGCCTCTTCCAGTTCCTGTAGTGTGAAAGGGGCATTTAACAATCTTTGATCTTCTAATGAAAATACTGGAAGGGGAATCCCTCCAAGATAATTTTGAAGGTTTTCATTCCTGTAAGTAATGTTGCTAGAATATAGCGACTGATGTGACCTTTTGAAGACCCCCAAAATAGCCTCTTTCTGAGTGTGGGTACAACCCTTCTGGAACTTCAGATGATTTGGCTGTCTCTCTCAGTGCTGGACTGTTCTATGGGAATATCATCCAATCTGGATTCAGTCATACAGTGTCATAGCGGTGGCATACATTAACCATCAGAAGTCTCAAGGAAGCAAGAGAGGTAAATCAGATCCTGTCATGGACATAACTTCACATTCCTGCCTTGTCCACTGTGTACATCCCAAGAAAAAGTCCTGTATAATAATAGACAATTTGCAGTATTCCTCTACCAGCAGCACCTAGAAATGTTCCCTAAACCCAGATGCATTCCAGGACCTGTGACACAGGTGGGGAGCAGTGGATGTGGACCTTCTCATCTTCAGGTTCAACAAACAAGAATCCTCCAAAAGAAAGATTGGATTCTCTGGTAGCTCTGTGGGATTAGTACACACTGATCTGTGCCTTTCCTCCCCTGGAACGTCTTCCTGGTCAGCTTCGCAGGATCGAGATAAAGTGCATTCCCTTGACCCTTATTGTTCTAGACTGCCCCGGGCAGATGTGGTACACCATTCTGCTAAGACACCTACAGTGCCTTGAAAAAGTATTCATACCCCTTGAAATTTTCCACATTTTGTCATGTGACAATCAAAAACATAAATGTATTTTATTTGGATTTTATGTGATAGACCAACACAAAGTGGCACATAATTGTGAAGTGGAAGGAAAATGATAAATGGTTTTCAAAATTTCCTACAAATAAATATCTGAAAAGTGTGGTGTGCATTTGTAATCAGCCCCCTTTACTCTGATACCCCTAACTAAAATATAGTAGAACCAATTGCTTTCAGGTGTCCCCTAATTAGTAAATGGAGTCCACCTATGTGTAATTTAATCTCAGTTTAAATACAGCTGTTCTGTGAAGCCCTCAAAGGTTTGTTAGAGAACATTAGTGAACAAACAGCATCCTGAAAGCCAAGGAACACACCAGACCGATCAGGGATAAAGTTGTGAAGAAGTTTAAAGCAGGGTTAGGTCATAAAAAAAAATATCCCAAGCTTTGAACATCTCACGGACCACTGTTCAATCCATCATCTAAAAATGGAAAGCGTATGGCGCAACTGCAAACCTACCATGTGGCAAAAAACTTCCACTGCGCATCACCCTGAACACACCATCCCTACCGTGAAACGTGGTGGCAGCATTATACTGTGGGAATGCTTTTCTTCAGCAGGGACAAGGAAGCTGGTCAGAGTTGATGGGAAGCTGGATGGAGCCAAAATTCAGGGCAATCTTAGAAAAAAACCTGTTAGATTCTTCAAAAGACTTGAGACTGGGCCGGAGGTTCATGTTTCAGCAGGACAACAACCCTATACATACAGCTAGAGCTACAATAGAATGGTTTAGATCAAACCATATTCTTGTGTTAGAATGGCTCAGTCAAACTCCACACCTAAATCCAATTGAGAATCTGTGGCAAGACTTGAAAATTGCTGTTCACAGATGCTATCCATCCAATCTGACAGAACTTAAGCTATTTTGCAAAGAAGAATGGGCAAACATTTCACTCTAGATGTGCAAAGCTGTTAAAGACATACCCAAAAAGAGTTGCAGCTGTAATTGCAGCAAAAGGTGGTTCTACAAAGTATTGACTTAGGGCAGTGCTTCTCAAATAGTGGGGTGCGCCCCCCAGGGGGGGCGCGAGGACTCCGTCAAGGGGGGCGCGTCGCCCCCCCCCCCCCCCTTCCGACAGAAGGGACACTAAGTACAGGGGTGGGCAGAGGGGCTGCTGTCTCTTACCTGGCTCCCACGATGATCCATCCAGGAAGCGCTGCTCCTTCCGTCACTCCGGCCACTCCCTCACTCCTCACCGGTGATTGGCCGCCAGAACTGTAGCTCAGGAAAGGTACACAGGCGGCCAATCACGGGCGAGGAGGCAGAGCCGAGCGGACCCGCGAAAATCGAGTGAGGGAAAAGCCGGTAAGTGTGCAGTGCAGAGGTGCTGCTGCAACCACATATGCTGGCTGCAGCAGCACCATACTGCAACAGGGGTCAGCAAGTGTCATTGGTGTCAGTGGGAGGAATAGTGCCGCATCATTGGTGTCACTGATACTAATGATGGGGCATTATTCCTCCCACTGACACCAACGATGGGGCACTATTCCTCCCACTGACACAAACGATGGGGCACTATCCTCCCCCCCCACTGACACCAACGATGGAGCACTATTCCTCTCCCCACTGACAGGGTACTATTCCTCCCACTGACACCAATGTTGGGACTCACTATTCCTCCCACTGACACCAATGTTGGGACACTATTCCTCCCACTGACACCAATGATGGGGCGCTATTCCTCCCACTGACAGTAATGATGGGGCGCTATTCCTCCCACTGACACCAATAATGAGGCACTATTCCTCCCACTGACACCAATGATGGGGCGCCAATGATTAGGTCCTAAGTAAATAATGGTGATCGGTTTGAATTCATTATTATTTATTGATTTTATGTATTTTTTGTATTTTTTCAGTTTCATATGGTTTGACATGTCCAATCAAAAAATGTTTATAGTTTAATTAAGGATTTAATTTTTTTTGAATTTCTAATGCACTTTAAATCTTTTCTGCTACAGTTAATAAAGCTATTCTTTGTTGTAAATTGATCCACATTTCTTTCTTTTTTTATTCTCTTATACGTTAATAAGGATACAGTGTTATGCAGAGGTGTACTTATAACAATTTTATAGACAAATGATACTATTTACAGTCGCGCGGGGGGGCGCGAAATGTTTTCTTCTTCCTAGGGGGGGCATGACAGAAAATAATTGAGAAGCACTGACTTAGGGGGACTGAACACAAATGTACTCCACACTTTTCAGATATTTATTTGTAAAACATTTTTAAAGCTATTTATCATTTTTTCATTCCATTTCACAATTATGTGCCACTTTATGTTGGTCTATCACATAAAATTACAATAATATACATTTACATTTTTGGTTGTAACATGACAAAAATGGAAAATTTCAACTGTTATGAATACTTTTTCAAGGCACTGTAGAAGTCACTGCATGCCCTTTGCTGGATTTTCAGGATCTTCTGTCCTATGGACCGATTTACCGTTGTTGTTTACACTTACTAGCTTTAATGGCATGGCTGTTGAAGCCTAGGTTCTGAGATAAAGGGGCATCTATGATTCTGTTTCCTACCATGATAAAAGCTAGGAAGTCTTCTTCTCTCAAAGTCTATCTTCAGAAATGGATGGCATACTTCTTTTGCTGTTAGACTCTGGACTTCCATCCTAGAACTTTCTCTGTAGGACATATCCTCTCCTACCTGGTGCTGGGTCTAGACCAGCATTTTGCTTTCAGCATGATCAGGGGCACGTTTCTGCTCTTTCTATTTTATTTCAGAGACTATTGGCTTCTTACTAATTTTTTAGGAACTTTGCACAGGGAGTGTACTATGTAGCTTCCTCTGTAACCCCTTGGGATCTGAATCTGTTTTTTGCACTTCAGAAATTGCCATTTGAGCCCAGGCAGACCATCATCCAAATTTATGGTCTCAAGGATTAGAATTCACTATTTCCTTTCAAGGTGCACTCTACTAAATATGTGAGTGCTTCTTGGGCTTTTTAGCATCAAACAACTTTTTTCCAGATTTGCAAGGCGGCTGTCTATCCTTTTGTTTACATATTATAGTTCTAATGAATTTTGCAGCTTCATCTGATGTAAGATTTGGGTGTAAGGTTCTTCAGACAGCTCTTTGAACTGCAGGCAGTCCCCAGTTTGTTCTTGTTTTTTCTTGGGCATGTTAATATTTCTTTGCTGTGTTGCCACCCCTCAGTTGGACTGCTTTTAGACATCACGAAGGTGAAATGCTTTGTGTCTCTCAATGGATGAGAAGGAAAACAGGATTTTTTACCCTAAAAATTATTTTTTTGGATTCTGTTGAGGGATACAGGTCCCACCCCTCTGTGCTTGTTATCATGCTCTCAGTACTGCTGGAAACTGGGCCCTCAAAACACAAGCATAGGGCAGATCTTTATTCTTTAAGAGCCTTTTCACACGGGTAGACTGTTTGGGTCTGCCTTTCTGATTTTCAGGTGGACCTGATCAAAACACCCTTTGTTCTCAATGGGGAGGCGGACATGTGTCTGTTTAAACCCACCGACATACAATCCTACCTGCTAAAATCAGACAGATGGGAATCCATTCCCCATCTATCTAGCAGATCATATGACAGTCGGATGTAAATGGCCCCATAGAGAAGAGCGGGCTATGTCCACTCTTCACACAAGCGGAGCAGACACAGACCTGTCTTCCGCTTGCTCAGTGGGCATCAGTGCACAGATCCCCTGCTGAGAAGGTGAATCCGCTTTGGGGAGTCCTGCCAGTGTGAAAGGGCCCTAACAGTAGTTTACAATAATTGTAACAATGATTTATGCTATTAATTTATTCAATATTTTTGTGTTTTGATATAGTTATTTATAAAACGAGTTTGCTACACCTTCAACCAAGACAGATGACCATCTACCTTCCAGAAGTGCGGAAAATTTCAATGGATTATATTAATTTGCCAGTATTTAACACAAATGTTTTCAGTGAAGATGAAGATGACTTACCTGGTGAGTATCTAATGGTTCCTAGAAATCAGAAGAATCCTTTAAATTTGTTTTATTTTGCTTTAAGATTTACAAAGAAATATTTGTACAAATAGCAAAAAAGTGACAATCTTGTACAGTTCATAGTAATAAATCAGTTTAAAACTTTCATGTTCCCACAGGTTCCGAGCAGATTAGATTTTAGTTGGCTGCTATAAATTTTTTTATCCATTATTCCTTTTTTTGGTGTATACTACATATCATGGTTATATATTTGTTGCATTGAACCCTAGTAATTAGTATGCTTTCTGCAAGTAGCAGCAATTTATCATAAATATAAAATGCATCGCTAATAGTCAATGAGAGGTATCAATATATGCAATAATAAATGATGATAAAAAAATCTATAATTATAATAGGTGAATATAAAATATCTGATCATGAACTGCAAGAAAAATCAAGTCCTGTAATGGTGCTCCCTGTGTTCCCAGTGCATATGGTATAAATGTGCACTAACCAGAGACGTATTAAATACGCGGTGTGTAAATATCATGAGGATCCCCCCCTCTCTGGTCAGGATAAGGACTGGAACTGGAGATGGTGAAGATGAAACGCCCTCGTATGATGAAGATGGGTCCGGAATGCCAGAGGTCCCCTTTAAAGGATATGCGGGTGAAAAATCCTGGATTACAGGTCGTTGCCCCTCTCTGGATCAGAGCAGGGACTGGTAGGTGGATCAGAGCAGGGCTCTGAAAATTGAAAGCGGGAAATTCAGGAGCTTTCAATCTTTCAATGGGTGAATGTGCAGTGTCAGAGGCGAAGGAGCATGTGAGTGGGCATTTTTTATACTGTTATACTCCATTAAATAGATTACACTATGGAGGTTTTTTTTTGTTTATTTATGATCTGGAGAGAATATTGTTGGCTGGGATATATAAAGAAGGACTGAAGCGCTTATTTCTGTGAAGGGGACCTGGAAGGTATCCTGGTACTACTCAGAGCGGTGCAATACTCAGAGCGAGCTGCCCCTGTGGGGTCGATGTAAGGAGGTGAGGGGGCATTTTGGCCACTAAGGATTCGCACGGAGTGAACACTTATCACTTGCATGAGCATTTTGATTTTTGATCACTATTATTGGACAATTTATTTATTTTGTGTGGATTTACATACCAATATGTTGGTTTGATCCATGGTTTTCAATGTGTTGTGTGTACAATATGTTATTCACGAGTGCTAGATAGCACACTGGTTACACCTGCACTTACTTATTCCCATAGGGAATTCACGTGTTGCACTTATAATTTACCCCTTATATGCACTGGGGGGTCTTGGGGTTATTCACTACATTATATTATATATTTATTTAGCGCCACACTGTTGTGTTATATCTAGTCACTTCACTCATAAGGTAAGAGGTTAGTGTCGGCAGCTTGAGTGTTAGGGCCCCATTTTTAGCGCAGGAGGATTTTTCCTTTACTTCTGTTATAATTATTGATTTTTTATCATCATTTATTATTGCATATATTGATACCTCTCATTGACTATTAGCTCTGCATTTTATATTTATGCTATTTTCACAAGGTCTTATGTGGTTTTCTTGAATGTTCAGCTGCTTTTATTTTAAGAGCGCTCACTGTATTATTTTATTACGTGGCAGCAATTTATATTTAGTAAAGTTGTTCTTTACCCCTTCCCCCTCCCTTATTGAAGACCAGGTAGTAAAATATTTGCCTCCATCCTTCACCTGAGCCCTGACTGCATCTGTCTCTCAGTGCACCACTTGGCTGATTGATTTCTATGGCTGGAACTGCTGTGAGCATGGACCAGCCATAGGCATGAATGACCCTGAGAATGTGCAGCAATGGCTGTATGTGGCCAGGTGTTTTTACTGCAATGGCTGTGCCATTCCAGGAAGGGCCACTTAGCTAAGATCTCAGGAGCAGGGGTGAAGGTATTTTACTACCTGGGATTTACTGATTGGTGTGGTGGGAATGTTACTTCTTATGTTTAGCTTCACTAAAAGTGAATTTGTTCATTGAGGTAGCTTTTAAAATGCATAACGGGTTTCCAATTTTGGTTTTTATAAAATTTTTATTGTTATGTTAGCTAGGATTTTGGACTAATCTTTTAATTGGATAAAAAGTAAGCTAAGTAATTAAGTTATTCTTTACATTTCCTAAATTAATATTTTCATTTTCTTTAGCAACTGGAACTTCTGGGGCACCAGAAAACAACCCCCCTTGCACTGTGAATATCCCCATTGCACCAATTCATAGCTCTGCGCAAGCTATGTCACCAACTCAAAGCATAGGCTTGGTTCAGTCTTTGTTAGCCAATCAAAATGTACAGCTAGATGTCTTGGCCAATCAAATGGTAGCTCCTGCTCCTCCGGATCATCCAGTAGAAAATGCTGTTCAGTATCCTGCACCAAATAGATATTCCAATCCAGGGCAGGTCATATTTGGTGGAGTTGAAATGGGACGCATGTTACAACCCACTCATCCTCCTTTACCACACCCATCACAGGCTACTGTTCAGATCCCACCTGTTGAAAACAATGAAAGAGACCATGAGCATCCTCAAAAGCCAAAACCATTACGTCCAGTCCCTCAGTTTGCAGATGGAGATGCTGTTGTTTTCACTACTGTTCAAGAAATGCAAATAAACAAACTCAACCCCCCACCTCCGTATCCAGGAACTATACCAGCTCCTCCAACTTCAGCTGCACCTCCACCACCAATCCCTCAACCTCCTTTGGACCTCTGCCTCAAGAAGGGAGACTTTTCCCTCTTCACAAGTGGGCACTACCAAACTCCACTAGGATATGAGCGTATAACAACATTTGATAGTAGTGGGAATGTGGAAGAAGTGTGCAGGCCACGGACACGAATGCTCTGCACACAGAACACCTATACTCTTCCAGGCCCAGGAAGTTCTGCAACCTTAAGGGTTTCTGCAACAGAAAAAAAGATTAAGCAACCATGCACCAGTGCCACATTGAATAGGTTGACTGTTCCCCGTTATTCTATACCACCTGGAGATCCACCACCATATCCTGAAATTGCAGCACAGCTTGCTCAAGGAAGAAGTGCTTCTCAGAGAATAGACAGCAGTCTTATTCATGCTACTCTGCGCAGAAATAGTCGTGAAGCAACTCTTAAAATGGCCCAAATGACAGATAATCAAAGAGCAACATTGCAACATCCTCCTAAAACAAAAAGCAGTGTTGTACCTGGACAGTTTCAACCACGGGCACCAGCAGCGTTGTACACTTGCAGCCAATGCAGCAGTAGCACTGGAGTAATTAGCAGCAGCATCAGTAATCATAGTGGCAATCTTAGCACTAGTACCATAGGAGCAGGAAATATCCGTCCTGAATTATCAACAGCTTGTGGTCCACAGCAGAGTACCGTTATTGTTCACTCTGCTAGTACTGCCCCTTTAGCATCTCAGTCATCATATAATTTATTAAGTCCCCCTGAAAGCTGTCGAGACAGGACAGATTATATTAATTCTGCTTTTACAGAAGATGAATCAGTTTCCCAACACTGCCCAGTAGAAAAGCCAACCAGGCATTTAAATCTGGCTGAGACAGGACTTACAATAAAGCGGCCCCCACCATATCAGTGGGACCCACTGGTAAGTGAAGATGTATGGGTTCCCCAGGAAAGAACAGCTCATAATACATTGCCAATGCCCCAGAGACCACCCCCTCTAATCCTTGGACAAGGTCAGCACTTAGATATGTCTCGTGTGCCATTTATTTCCCCAAAGTCACCCACCAGCCCTATTTCAACATTCCAGACAAGTTATGGAGTTGGGATGACATATAACAGTGGTTATAATGTCCCACCTCCTCTTCAGCAAGTACCAAAACCTTGCTCTCCAAAGGAAGCTTTACCTCCAGCACAGTTTGTGCAGCAAGAGCCCGCTATAATAGTACAGCCAGCATACCCACCCAATTTGCCTTGCTGTCCCTTGCCACCAATGTATCCAGGAAGTAGTAATTGCAATGGCTTGCAGCTTCCTCCAGTGGCACTACACCCATGGAACACATACAGCCCATGCCCACCAGCGCCGAGTTCACAGTCTACATTACCACCGAAACCTCTTTTGGTGCCGGAAAAGCCTGTCATGTCTCCATCTCAGCCAGAGGTGCAAAATAATGTGGGCAGTGAAGTCATGGTGGAAACTGCAGATAACTTCCAGGAAGTTCTGTCATTAACAGAGAGCCCTGTAGCTCAGAGAACTGACAAATTTCCTAAAAAAAATAGAAAACGTTTAGATAGCAGAGCGGAAGAAGGAAATGTTCAGGCCATCACTGAGGGCAAGGTGAAAAAAGAAGCAAAGACCCTGAGTGACTTTAACTCTCTCATAGCCAGTCCTAGGCTTGGAAGAGAAAAAAAAGAAGGTTAAGAGTCAAAAAGATCAGCTGAAATCCAAAAAGCTAAATAAGACAAATGAGTTTCAGGATAGTTCAGAGAGTGAACCTGAACTCTTTATTAGTGGGGATGAGCTGATGAACCAGAGTCAGAGCAATAAGAAGGGATGGAAAACCAAGAGGAACCTTAGGACTGCTAGTGACCTGGATGAGTTTAAATGTCGGAAAGCTAATGACAAAGATGATGGCAGGTTGGGAAGCCAAGGATTTGTCTATGTTATGGCAAACAAACAGCCTTTATGGAATGAGGCAACACAAGTCTACCAGTTGGACTTTGGAGGTCGAGTGACTCAGGAATCTGCAAAAAACTTTCAAATAGAGCTGGAAGGTAGACAGGTATGGTGAAAGTTTTGTTTGTATAACATTTATTTACAGTATCAATTATTTTAATCTTTTTTTATTTCTACAATTGTACTTTTATATATACCGTATATATTTTTTTATATACTGTATATATAAATATTGCAGTATATCCCTTACATGGCACTTTTGTAAGGAACATGTTGTGCAGGAGTAGACTGAGACAGATACTGTAGTTTCTTCCTCTAGTAAGATTTTACTTTATTTTGACATCATGCTTAAAATTAAGGACAGATAGGACAATTTATTTTACCATTTCCTGAGGATTTACCCCCCTTCCTGACCAGGCCAGCACCAGTGCTTCACTGTAATCACATTGCTTTGCATGACTCTGCCGTGCACAGCCATCCAAAGCAGTGTGCGCAAGCTGACAGGGAGGAGAACTGTTTTGTTTACAAACAGTTCTCCCCATCGGAGATGCTTGGCAATCACCAGTCACCGGCGAGTAATCACCGGTAAGGACCTGGTGATTGACGGTCGTGAATGGCGACACGGGTAGGGTGCTAAAGAAATATCATGCATGCTTTCCTTCCACTAACACAAAAACAATGCAGCCCCCCCTTCTCTGTTCAGCACATTTCCTTTTTTGCATGTTTCCCCCCTCTGCCAGAATACACTGATCAGCACTTGCAGCCATCGCTGATAGCGCTGATCAAATGCTTTCAGTATGACTGTTTGACAGAAGCTAGCTTCCTTTGAACAGAGTACACACTTTCCAAAAATCAGGCACTTGTTGAACCAGCTGACTTTAGGTGCATTTGTGCCCAGCTTTAGGCTAGTTTACAGTTTACTTATGGGGTGAACAATAAGCACATCTGTCTAAAAGGTGAGGCTTCAGTCTTCTGAAACTAGAAAACATTGCGTCCTCCCTGTCTGCTTTTCTATTATTTTTATTTTTTTTTTGGACAAAAGTTCAGAGATGCTTAGTGTTCCAGTATTATTTTCTGTTTACTGGACTTCAAGTCTGTTAGGAAACTGTGAGCAATGTTTTCTTATGACAGCTGATTCCTGTGTCAAAGTAGCTAAACCGGTCCTGCAAGGTGTAGGCAGAGAAATTACAAGAAATACTTCTTGATCATTGCTAATAAAGAAGCCGGATAGGGCTGTTTCAGTAAAACATGGCCATCTAAAGCAGGGGTCTCCAAACTATGGCCCACGATCCACATCGGCCCACTACAAGATTTTATCCAGCCCACAGCAAAAATAATCCGTCTGGCTGGCAGTGGATGCACTGACCTGTGTCATAATACAGAGACCGGCGCATCCACTGCCATCCTGCTAGCTATTACCCTTCTCCAGTGCAGATTTTACCTCCTCCCTCTGCTGTGGTTTGCTGCTAAGATCATAGGTATTCTGGCAGCCAATGAGGTGGTTTATAGGAGGATGGTCCAAGCCGGCTGGCCTCCCAACTTTTTCCTTACTGCTCTACACCATGAAAGGTAAGGGGGGCTCTGCTGGGCACTCTTGAATCTAAGAGGACACTCCAGTATGTAGGAGGTAATGGGGTTCTCTGATGGGCTCTCCTGAATGTAAGGGCGGGACTTTGTTGGGCACTCCTGGATGTAATGGGAACTCCTGGATGTAAGAGGGACTCTGATGGGCACTCCTGGATGTAATGAGGGCAGGACTTTGTTGGGCACTCCTGGATGTAATGGGAACTCCTAGATGTAAGAGGGACTCTGATGGGCATTCCTAGATGTAAGGTGGTACTTTATATAAAATTGTTTTTTTTTTTTGTTTTGTTTTGGGTTTTTTTTACCTGCAAATATTTTTGAATTATGCAATGTGGCCCTCATACTAAAAAACTGAGACCCCTGATCTAGAACACATGTACAATCTAGGTCTTTATCAGTGTACTAGATCAGATCTTAGAGGATCTGTGAACAGGTTAATGTGCAGAGTGCAAAGAAGACCACTTATAGGGCATAAAGTGGAACTAAACCCCCCCCCCCCCCATTCTTTACAGCCAAGGAAGCTGCCATCTTAGCTTACATTTGATTTGCAGTTGCAAATTTTGTTGGGGGGTTTCCCACTTTAATTCTCTTCTTTGGTACATCTTTTAGTAATGTTTAGAATCCTAAACGCCATCATTAGTTGTCCTTGCTGATTTATGTAAACTATTATATACATAGACCTATTATTTTGTGTTGAAATAGACCCCTTTCAGTTCTTCTGGATCTATGTCCAGATTGTGCAGAACTGCTATTTAAAGTATATGTAAACGCTAAGACTGCTTATTATTTGCTACCTTTTGGTCTGTAAGGTATGTACTTTTGTGTTATCTCAGATAAAAACCCTTCTAGTTGCTGTCTTAGGATTGTGTTGTGCACAATAAGATAGGTGGTTTCCAGTTGTTTAGCAAAAGAAAGCAGGGCTAACACCACTCAGTCCACAAAAACTTGTGCTGTCAGCCTAGTAAAGGGCTTAGCTGCATTTTTGACAGCTTAACTGGTATTTTTTTGTGCTTGCATACTTTAAAAGTAAAAAAAAAAAAACGTGGAGAAATATCCATGTTTTGCAGAGATGTAATGCATATTTTTTATTTTAACCTAGTACAGGGAACTATAATGATTTTTGATCATTTTCTTTCAGAATTGTGTTAAGTTTTTATATTTTAAAAAATTTAATTTCAATTTTGCTATCTATATTAAAACCCTATGTTGTCTTTTAACTATTATTTTTGGGATACAGCACCAAACACATTAGCTACTTGTAACAGTGAGCATCCCGTTGCTTGCTGGTGGTTGTGTCTGGTGAAAATCTTCTCTGTAGTGAATTCTTATTTTTATTCTTTTTTCCGGCAGGTAATGCAGTTTGGAAGGATCGATGGCAATGCCTACATTTTGGACTTTCAATATCCCTTTTCAGCCGTCCAAGCCTTTGCAGTTGCTCTGGCTAATGTGACTCAGCGTCTCAAATGAGTCCTACCACGTGGACATGTCATCTGTTCTTTGAACAGGGGATTAACCAATGTTTTAGTAATATAAACAGAACAAGCGGTAAAGCATTTCAACTGGAAACAAGACATGACTGCCTATGTGATGGCACTCTGTGTGTATTTTTTTTTTGTTTGTTTGTTCATTTTTTTACATGCAATATAGCTGAGGATGGTTGAACGGGAGCCATTTCATGCTACGGTGGGAACGTGGCTTTTGACTTGTATTGATGGTTATGTTCTGTTGTGTTTGGTGCAATAGATGTTAGAATATTACGTGGAAAAACTGCCTTATTTATAATAATATTATTTTTGAAAGCCGTAAACTATGTTGTTCATTGATCTTTTTTGGTTTGGAAAAAAAAATCACAAATTAAATGCAACTAAACGATATTTTTAATACTTGAATGCATAAAACAATTAATGGGTACTGAAGGTTGTATAAATATCCTTAAAGGTGAAATTTAGGGTGTTTCTATAACCTGTGAGTTCTGTTAAATTTTATTTGTATAAATGCTAGTATTTCGGTATGTGAAAATGTGCTAAATTTTAAAACTTTTTGACAAGATGCATTTTTAACTAGATTAGAAAAATAACTTTAACAACCATAGGTATGTGCAGACATCCTGAGATGTCTTTACCATATGTATTTCATTCTAGAAGCAGATCTGGGCATATTGTAGATAAATCTCAACTTCCAGCTGAGGTTCTAATACAGCCCAAAATCACACAAGTCAAATTGTCTACCTCTTTGTAAGTCCTGCTGACCGGCAAAGAAACGCAACCTTGGAATTGTTGGATATGAGGAACGTAACAGAGCCTCTAACTTCATATGGATGTTGAGTTTAATGTATATTGTGTGTCTTGGTTCACAGGTTCCAACATTGTGCATAAATGGTTTTGGAATGAAACTTAGCATGTGCATGAGCTTTGGGGGCAAAATAGCAAATACTGGTTACTTAGATGTAGTGATAGGTTCACTTTGAGAAATGTCAGAAGATACGTTTTCACACAAACCATAAACCCCACTGGTCGTACCTCAGTTTTTTTTTTTTTTTTTTTTCCCTGTCGCTATGGGCACCTCAAATATTTTACAGGGATGTAGAGCCCTGTACAATATCTACGGCATAAAGTATTGCTGTGTTTAGCGGGGCAGGGTTCACAGCAGGCAGATGGAGGGCCAGTAGGGTGGCATTCATGGTGATATCTTCGGTCAAGAGAATGAAATGCTCCTGAACACAATGTTTGGAACAATAAAATATGAACAAACATTGTCCCATAATATTTTGGTATTTATCCATGGCAACACTGAATATACCTTTTCAGATGAAAGTATACCAATACTAGGTACTTACACATTTAGGCTACATGCACACAGGCATTTAGCGTTTTGCCTGTAGAAGCAACTGTTATCCTATGTGTCCATGCACGTTAGGTTGTCTAACGATGTTTTTTATGCTGGCAGACAAAAAAAAAATCACCTGTTTTGTGTTTTTGAGTGCATTTTTTGAAAAATGCTAAACATTAGTACAAAAAAACTTGCAAAATTAAGGTCTTTTTCTGCCAAGAGCACTGGCGGTTTTCAAGCCAGTGTGCATGGAGCCTAACATATAAAAAAGAATATCAAAACAATAAAATTACAATAATTGATCCTGCCCATAAACAAACACATCCGCTAAT